CATAAAAAGGCAGAGCATTTTTAGTTTACTAATTGGTTATTGCACATATTGTGGTGGAAGAGTGGAGGAAGAAGATGTAATTGTACAGGCTGAATGCTACACTCTATTTGATACAGATTCTGGGCCATGGGTTGCTCTAAGGAGTTTGCCCAGGATGTTTTGTGCCACTAACTGTGGTAGTAATATGTCTTGGGTTAGTCCTAGCTGTTGGAACTTCAAAAACAGCTATTCCACTCTGTATGCACAATGGACCACATTCTATCAATAAACCATATTGCTGTCCACTCACTAGCTCACATTTTGCAATACTACCATATGTTCCCATGAACCTTCAGATTTATTGATGGTTGAGTTGCATTGGAATATGCTACTCAACCAGATAGCAGGAGCTTTAGTTCAAGCTTATAGTGACACAAAATGGTTCAGTGAATACAGAAGAGAGAAGAAGTGTCCCTGCTGTGTTTAAAATTAGGTGCAGCCATGGCAGGGAGCTAGTCCTTTGCAATCCATCTTGATTTTCAAAAAGTGCTAGGAGAACTGTGCTTTTTTCCAAGTGTCTCATTTCTTTTATGGAGACAGCAAACCATTTTAGAGTTGATGTATAAGGCAAGATTCTGTGCCACATCAGTAGCCGTTGGTTTACATTTTTCTTTTTATAACATGCATAAAGTAAGGGGTCTTTTGCATCAAAAGCATAGGCTCCTGGACTTTTATAGCTACATTTCTCTCTCTCCATTTATGTTTTACAATTCAGGTTGATGTGGTATAAATTAGTAGCACTGTTCACTGGGGAAAAGATTGAAAACATAATGCTAACTTCATTTACAAGTAGGCAACATGTAAAGCAGCAATGTTTTCCTGAGGTCAGAAAGGAATCTCATTAACAGAACAGAGCTCATAAACTTTCATTCCAGTCCATCAAGATTCTAAGGCAATAGGGAAATAAACTTTTAGTGAAATGTAGAAATGTAGGCTCCCTTGCTAGAATTAAAATGCTACATTCATTTCTAGCATCTGCCAAAACATGTTGCCTGTCAGGAAAGAAACTTAAAGAACATGGAATGTAAAGGACTTATTCAAGGAAGATATCCAAGGAAGTTTAAGGTGGAGACTTAAGGCTTTAACTGAATCACAGAGTTGGAAGAGATGTTGGAGCTTAACTATTCCAAATCCCTGCTTTATATAGGATCTGTAATGCAGAACGCAACTACAGGAGCTCTGACAGATGGTCAACCAGTCTTTTCTTAAACACCTCCATCCTCTAAGGTGGCCTGTTTCACAGCTGAACAACTTGTACAATTAGAAGGTGTGTTTTTTCCCCCTGTATTTTAGATAAAATCTGCTTCAATACAATTTTTACTCCTTGGTTCAAGGCTCAACTTCTGGGGCCCTTTCATATTGCACAATTATAGCATGATGATTCCATTTTAAATGTCATAGCAACATCACATGAAATCTTGGAGTTTGTATTTATTTATTTATTTATTTATTTATTTATTTATTTAGAGCATTTGTACCTCTTTCTTAAACCACAAAGGCTCTGAGAGTGACTTGTTTGCTGTTGTTAGCTGCCTTTGAGATCAACCTCAACTCATGGCAACCCTGTGAATGAGGTGTCTCCAAGCCCCCTATCCTCTACCTGTCTGCCCAGGTCCAGTAGGCTCAGGCCCATGGTCTCTCTGAGTCTATCCATCTGGCATGTGGTATTCCTCTCTTTCTACGAGTTCAGGATTGATTTCTTCTAGGATCCAGTTGTTGATCTTTTTGACCATCTATGGCAGGGGTAGGCAACCTTTCCCCTTTAAGGGCTGAGGGACTTCAGCTCCCAGAAGCCTCAGCCATGTTGGCCAATAGTCCCATGTTGGCCAATAGCTCCTGGGATTCTGGGAGCTGAAGTCCCTTGGTCCTTAAAGGGGAAAGGTTGCCAACCCCTGATCTATGGTATTCTCAGCTCCTCAACTCAAATTAATGTATTTTCTTGCTATCTGCTTTCTTCACTGTCCAGCTCTCACATCCATACATAGTGATGGGGAAATGCAATAGCTTGGATGATTGTAACATTAGTGTCCAACTGTATATCTTTACACTTTAGGATTTTGTCTTGTTCTTTTATAGCTGCCCTTCTCATTCCTAATCTTCTTCTGATTTCTTGACTGCAGTCTCTTATAAATTGTTCATTTGACAGATCATCTCTCCTGCCCAGGTCAGGGAAGTGACAGCTGGAATGAAGGGAGAACCTTTCATCCTGCTTCTTGGCATATTTGTAGTTGTAGGTCTGTAGCTTGGTGAGGCACTAGAGCCAGCATAGTATAATGGTTTGAGTTCTAGACTAGGGCTCTGGAAAATAGGGTTCAAATCCCTGCTCGGCCATGGAAATCCAGGTGACCTTGAGCAAGTCACATTGTCTCAGCTGCAGAGGAAGACAAAAGCCCCTCTGAACAAATCATGAAAGGTTAATCGTATGATAACCATAAGTCAGAAACAACTTGAAAGCACACCACCACCACCACAAGGCACTAGACATTTCAGAGTAGGAATTCTGAACATCCCTCCCTAAACTAAAAATTTCATGATTCCATAGGAACTTGACATGGCAGTTAAAGTTGAATCATAGTTCTATAACTAAATGGCCCCTAGAACAAGAGAAACAAATTTGTTCTATCTTCTACATTCTAGCCCTTCAGATTTCTGGACATAGGTTATGTCCTCCTTAATTGTCTTTTCTTCAGGCAATAATAACCAGTTATGTTAACTGTGCTTCCATAACAGACTGATCACTGTCTCCTGGACATGTTTACCCTAACTATGGAAAGAGCTTGAAGCACATGCTTCACCCCTTCCACTCCCAATCTCTGTGTTTTGTTTATGAAGCTTTACAAAGGACCTATAAATGTATTTGTTTGAACATGGATACTGATTTCCACATGACTGTAAACCTTGATAAGACATGATTCCCAGTAGGCTGGATATTCACTTGAATATGTGTTACATCTTCTTTGCAGACCTACCCTTCCAATACAGACTCAGTCAGACACATATCCTGCAACAAGAGGCAGAGTGTAGCCTTCTCCCCTTACAGTCTGATCTCCTGCCCACACCTTGGAGGTTGTTAAGCCCTGGGAAGTGCAGCAGTAGTGACAGCTTACTGTTGAAGAAACAATTCAGGTAATGAAGAAGCAGCTGATTTCAGGTTGAGGAGCCAAAAACAAAGCTCCATTCATAGATGAAGTGCACTCTCCTTCCTCTTCCTCTTAGAGCTCAACAAGCTACAGCTTCATCATCTAATTTTTTGATAGAGCAGAAAATATTAGATCCTTAGCCCTGTCCAAAAGAGGCACATGTGTGGATAAGCTATATATACATGTATGTATGCCACTAAGGCAATTTTCCACAACCTCTGGACCTACCATGATCCACTATATTCCATATCAGTGAAGCAGAAAATGAACACAAGGTTCAGAAACCCAACCAACCACCCAACTTTCTGATGGAAACAAAATACAAAGTAATGACTTTTTATAGTAGATTTTCATTCTCTGGAGGATTTGAGGGAAACAATTCTCCCATTCCCTGCAAAAAAAATATGAATTTGTGCTCTGTTGGCTATTTGATTCCCACTCCTGAACTACATAGATAGAGAAAGGAATGCCTGAATAGTGAAAAATGAATAATGCTTGAATATTATTTTCCATGCTCTGAACAGTATGTGTCTGTGAATACAGCCTAAAATTAAGATGGGGGGAGGGAGCCAAATTATACTGATGGCTCATGTTCATCTTGTGTTCCATTAAGACACATTTGGAAGCAATACATGTAGAAAGAATCCAAGTGTCTTGGTGCTTCACAGGCTGAATGTAAGCCAACAGTAAAATTAACTGGTAAAAACACAAATACAATCTTAAACTGCATTAAAAAAAAACATACTTTTCAGGCAAATTTTGCTATCATTTCCTGCATGGGAATCATTTGTTAATTAATTTGATGGGATTATAATAATAACAAGAGGTGGTGCATATGTTTGTGTTTGTGTATTGGTCTACCTGTATGTCTTTTATAGTTCAAAAAACATGAAATTCTTACACATCATATGGACAGTGGTCAGTCACAGGATGCTACACTGTGCACCTTAGGGTTGTTTTGTTTTAGTTTTTATGATATAAATCAATTGTAATCAATTAAAATTTCTCTATGACCTAAGTACCATCATCAGTCACTAGATGGCAGTTATAGTTAACTACAACATAGCTATTATTCATGACAAAGGCTCCTATTAAGATGGGATCTAGCATAAGAAGAGTAGGAAAGACTACATGAAGACCAGATGAAAGTTCAGAACACTAACTTGAAACTGAGATGGCAAACAGCGTAGCAATTGCTATAGCTAATGGGACTCCACAACAGAACCTTGCGTGTCAGGAAGAAGACAATGATGGATAGGCTGCATCCAGAACAGCTGAGATGCCAGGAAAAAAAGACAAAGAAGCAAGTCAGAAAGTATCAAGAACTTGAAAAAATGAAAAAGAAATCTGGCCTTATACTATAGTTCTGAACCATTAATTAGAATTAGCTTGACACATCCACAACCATGCATGTACCTTCAAGTATATTTAGCAACTGTGGCAAATTTCAACAGTCTCAATTCAATAAATATGCACCTGTGAAGAAAATCTTGTAGGGAGTCAGGGGGTGTCTTCTTTTGGTGAAAATCCTGCTGGATAAATGCATGGGAATCCAAGTTACGCCTTCATATGTCCTTTTTAGATATCACAAAGGAGGTATTCAGTAGGAGTTTTTACACAGAATGTGCCCAGGCAGCACTGTCTAATACATTCATCTACAACTACTTGCAGTAAAATTACAGCTGAGTGCTGCTTGTGGCTATGAGTCCCACAGTCCAGGTTTTTCACTCACATTAAAGAGAGACATGGAGACACTGGCCAGAAGCTTGTTGATATCTAACTGATGAGAAGGTCCCCTATGGAACCAGCTGGGCATCTTCCCCAATGTGCAGTATCCACAAACAGTTCAAGTTTGTGGAAATGGAATCTATTTTTATTTGCATTTATTTATTCCACTCCTTTATCCCAGCACAGAATCCAAGGCTGTTTTGTACATGTATTTGTGCATGTGCAAGAGATGTGCACAAACACAAGATGCATGTGAAATGCATGTGACACATGCATGGGAGGTACATTCAGCTGTCCAATGTTGCTATTCAATAGAGAGTTGCATAGTAACTTCACCAGACCTGCTACCCAGACCTGATGAAAGATGTCAGCCAATGGGTCTCATTTTGGCAGCTCTTGAATATTACTTAAGCCTTTTGTACATCACACTAAAAGTTGTACTCTACAGCTAGACACTTGTAGTGTAACACTGGAAACTTAGGCTAGTGAATAAATAAACATCACCTTCTACAGAGATAGCTATTAGTGGAAAATTCATAATTTCCCTAGCTGTTTTCCTTGGTCTTTCTGTAGTGTATTGGTTTCCAGTGAAACAGGAATATAAGTGTTTTATTGGAGTCTACTACTTGGGTGATCAATCAGAAAACCTGTGTCTGAAAGGTTTATAATTATATGAAGGAAACAAGTTAAGTGAGCTGATTGGCAACCACATTTCCTGCCACTAAAATATCTTGGGAGAGGCAGTAGCAGCAGCAAAAACAAAAAACCCAAAACACAACATTAGCAGCAAATATGCAGCATGCATATATACATGATATCCCTCTTTAAAGTGGGTATTATGAACAGCATAGGGTTTCAATAAACTTTAGGCTAAAGGCATGAAGTACTTCCACATGACAAAATTACAATCATTTAAGGATGAATTGAGCCCATTTAAATAATGTATGAGAACAATTTCTGAAGTGCTCGAAAAAGCAAAAGATGCAAGAATATTTTATTTCAAAGATAACTTAAATACAAGGTAGTTATTTTGCTTTTTAGTTGGAAATTAGCAGGCTATGTTAATTTAAATGCACATTTAAAAGTGACTCCTTTGAGATTATGAAATTTATATCTCCTGTTCTGCTGAGTGGAAGATAATATTTTTATCCATAAATTGTTACTGTCTTGTTGAAGTCTTCATTAAAAATGGCTTAAATCTATATTAATAAAAGAGAGAGAGAAAGCTAAATGCCTGCCTGCCTGTCTGTAGCATAATATAAGCATCATGCTAGAAATCTCAAAATCTGTCAGAGTGATTTTGGTTGCCATTCAACTTGTAGTATCCACCTTCAGGTTGTAAAGCTAAAATTCTTAAGGGGCCACTATAACTAATGAAGACTTCAAACTTTGACACAGTATCCATGGTTGTATATCAGCCAATTTCAGCAGGCTTGTAGAAACCGGGGGGGGGGGGGGGGGGGGGGGGGGGGGGGGGGGGGGTTGTCATAAGTCATTCAGAAATATTCATTTAAGAGCTTTTTAAAAAATAAGATAGGTAGCACTGAGGCTAAGTGCAAAGGGCACCTGATGTGGGGCCAGCATAAAAAGCCCCATTCCAACACTAATGTCACCTCTCAGTCTGAAATGATGGCAGTCTTTAAATACCTAAAAGATTGTCACAGAGAGGAGGGTGGAGATTTGTTCACTGCTGTTCTAGAATGTAGGGCTAGGTCTAATGGTTTTAAAGTACAGAAGGTAGCTTTTGATTGAATTATAGAAGGAATTTCTAACAGTAAGTGCAGTTTGGCAATGGAACCAGTTACCTAGAGAAGTGATGAGGTCTCCTTCTATGGATGTCTTCAAAAATAGACTAGACAAATGGAGATGTTCTAGCTGATGTTTCTATGGCCTATGAGGCCCCTTCCTGCTCTATCAATCTATGATCCTGAGTGTGATCCACATGCTTTCTTCAAGGCACCCAAAAAGGCCTTTTGTAGACATGGCAAAGACCATTGCCCTGTTTTCACCAGTTACTAATTTCTGAAGACTTTGTTCTGTTGATTGTTTATGCTTCTTCTCTTTCACATTAGTAGTTCTCAGCCTTTAGTCTTTCAGATATTTTGGACTTCAGTTCTCAGAGTCCCTGTGCATTGTCCATGTTATCTTAGAATTATGAGAAATGAAATACAAAAGATATGGAGAACCAAAGGATGAAGGCCACTGTCCTTACCCACTGTCCTTACATAATATTAATAGATGATGCACCTCTTTAAGTATTTATTCCTGTAAACGAGTATAGTGCCAAGACAAGGCTATGCCTCTGCCCACAAAACAAGGCTTGGATTTTCTAAAATAGCATCCCTACAAAGAAAACCTTGAGGGATTCCACACCCAATAAGACCTGAGCATTGGCAATGGTTAGAGAATATAGACTTGTGAGTGAAATGGGGGTGGGGTGGGAGGAATACTACAAGCATGGCT